CTGTAATTTATCAATATTACTTAAATCTAATTGTTCTACATCAATATCATTAATTTTATCAATACTTGAAGTTTCAACATTACTGTTCGAATTACCCATTATATATTATTATTTAGATTATAATACAATAATAAATATTCAAAGGAATTAAAATAGGCCATAACAATCCCCAAGCAATAGGAATTAATACCTTACCACACTTATCTATTTGTCTGTGGAATTTCTCTTCTTTCCTTTGTTTTTTAATTCTTTAATATATTCATCAAATTTAGAATGACTAAAATTACATTCTTCATTATTACGTTTATCTAATGTAAATTCATCTTTATTTAACTTAGTAATTCTACAACCACAGTAACAAATTTTCTCTCTCATACTATCATTTTGAAATAATACTTTTATCTTAACTTTCCTGTCAATGTCCATATATCTATATATATATATAATTAGTTATTTATTTATTTATTTATTTATTTATTTATATATTTATATATTTATAATAATAGTTTAAAGGGTTATTTATAATACTCTATAATACCTGATGCCTAAAAAAGAAAATGATTATTCAAGTACTTGTATTTATAAAATTGTTTGTAGAGATTTAGAAGTTAACGATTTTTATATAGGACACACTACCAGTTTTAAGCATAGAAAGACACAGCACAAATATGACTGTCAAAATTTAAACAGTAAAAAACAAAACATCTATTTATATTCGTTTATAAAAGAGAATGGTGGGTTTGATAATTTTGATATGGTGTTAATTGAGTCAGTATGTTGTAAGAATGTTCTTGAAGCGAGACAGAGAGAGAGAGAGTTAATTGAAGAATTGAAACCTTCTTTGAATAGAACAATGCCAATGATTGAACCAAGTGTCAAAGAATATAAACAAAACTGGTATAATGAAAATAAGGAGAGGGTGAGTGAGACAAAAAAGCAAAAATACCAATTAGAGAAAGAATATGTTAAACAAAAATCAAGAGATTACCATTACACAAATAGAGATGTTATATTAGAAAAAATGAAAGAAAAAACCATATGTGAATGTGGAGCAGTTGTAAGTAAGAAGCATTTGAATCGGCACTTTTCTTCTTTAAAACATAATGAGTTTATAAACAATAAATAATTGATAATATTTACTCGTATTATCAATTATTTAGATTTTTCTTTTTTCAATTCCTTAATTTCTTTTTCTATTTTTTCAACTTTATCTATTACTTCAAGTAAAGCTTTATGTAATAATATTGGTACTTTTGTATATTCAATACCTAAATATTCGCGACTGCTATGAACTACATTACTAATTTCTTTTGGAACTGCTTTTAACAAATCATCAGCAATGTAACCGATGTGGATTGCATCCTTATCGTCTCTATCTTTTCTTTTGAATTTTTTAGGATTGAATTTCTTAATCATACTAATACAATTACTTTTAAGTAAATCTACATCATATTTTAATCTTGCATCAGAATTATCTATTAGACTTCCATTTATAGTTACAGTTCCAGCAGTAATATCAATAGCATCACCTGAAGCATCTTGAATATCATTAACAAATAATGTTTTTGTATTAACAACTGTTACATTTTCGTTAAAAGTGGATGGAGCATTATTTGTAAAACTTTCAGTATTTACTGTTGTTCCAAATGTCTTATCAATAGATAATAAAACTGAAGGTGTAGTTGAACTATCTGAAACTCTAAAAGCTGTGTTTGATGTTCTGAATATTACATCAATTGTAGATAAATTAGTTCCATCATAATAAGTTGATATTTCCGATGTTCCCATTTTAATATCAGTTCCAGTAGTCATTGAAATATTATTCAAAAATGAAACCGTTGTTAAATCAAATGATTGAATGGTATTAGTTGCTAAATATGCATTTTGAACTGCTAAGTTAGTATCAACGGTTATTAATGTTCCTCCGTTAGGTGCTCAATGATTGCTTCTTAATGCTCCATTAGTTTTAATATAAACATCATCAGCAAATAAATTACCCATAAAATCAGCAGTAGCAGTATTAAAAGTCCATCCGCTAGTAATATTAACTGCCCCGACTATGTTAGACTGAACAGTGGGGTCTCCACAAATAAATCTAATTGAAGAATTAGCATCACTATTCCTCATATCAAAAGATGAAAAAGCACTAACATATCTATATAATTCACAGTTTGTATCAATTGTTAATTTACCATCAGTAGCAATATTAACATTATCACAATTAATATCAGCATTCGTATAAATACGGTGGGTGGACAGAATCCTGCACCACCATCTCAGCATTGGGTTGCACGCCCTCGCGCTCCCTTTTTAATATTGGGAGCTGAAAACACGCAGAAGGAAAGAAGTTGAATGGACGAAATCCTGCACCACCTTTACAGCCCATCAAAGCAACATTGAATATGGGGAGCGGGGGGTCCTTCTACACCCTTGTTTAACTCGTTGATTTAAGCGGTGCAGGATTTCGTCCACCCACAGTATTACCTAACACATCTATAGGCTTACTAAAAATAGTTTTATTAACTAATCCATCACACATCATATATTGATTAGAAGCATTTGTAACATCACCAACACTAATGGCAACAAAATCATCATGAGACATATATAAGCCTTCAATAGAACTGGGAGTATATCTTCGTATTGAACCATTATTATTAAAATTCAAATATGAACCATTGTTAAGATTTATTGCCTTGTCAGTTCCTATAAAATCAACTGCATCAGTAAATCTCGATTTTCCAGCACAATTTAAAACATAACCATTAACACCAACAGCACCTAAACCAAATCTATCTTTTACCCAAACTCTTCCAACATTAGCGTCTCCGATTTGTGTTTCCCATTGACCCCCTGCGCTACTCATCCACATGCGTCCGTCTCTATTAATATTAAATTCACGATTAAACATTTGAAAAGTCATTTGCAATCCTAAATCAGGCGAAGGTGTAGTACTAAACTTGTTACAAATTATAGAACCAGTAGTCAGCATATTTAAATTACTGTGTAAAGTTGTATTATCACTAAAATTAATAGCACCTGCTACTGATTGAGAGTTAGTATCTATTTTATCTAACTTTTGACCTAATGATGTATCCTGTGAATTATTAGTAGTAATTATTGAATTAATTGTATTTGTATTTCCTGTTATTAATCCACTTAATCCATCTGATTGTAAAATATATCTAGCATCAGAACCTGCTATATCTAAAATAGACGAACACGAAAATAAACCTGATACTTGTAAATTACTTAATATTGTAGTATTATGATTTAATATTATTTTATCATTTTGAAAAGTTGAAGAATTATTAATTTCTACATCTCCAAAACCTCTTTGATTTAAAAACATAGTTGCTCCACTTAAATTTCCATAAACATAAGTATCAATATAATTATTGTATAATTCATGATAATAATTATAATTTCCAAATTCTACTATTTTGAACGTTGAAGTAGTTGTTATATTATGTATTAATGTATTATTTAACACTGATGTATTTAATTTTTCTGATAATAAATTATTAGTCGTTATTTTATTATAATAATCTGCTTCATTAAGTGAACCACCATTCTGTAAATCTAAAATTGCAGTAATATGTGAATTTACTGTACTATTTAATCCTGCTATTAAATTTGTATTTGATGAAATATTATTAAAATTAATTGATACCGTAGAATTTAAGTTATTTATTAAATTTGTATTAGATGAAATATTATTAAAAATTGATGTTATAGTTGAATTCAAATTATTTATTAAATGTGTATTAGATGAAATATTATTAATATTTGTATTAATTAAATTAGTATTTGAAGAAATATTATTAAAACTAGTTGTCATAGTAGAATTTAAATTATTTATTAAATTTGTATTTGATGAAATATTATTAAAATTTGTGTTTGAAGTTACTGTCAGATTACCTATTAAAAATGTATTTGAACTAATATTATTTGATAATACATTAATTTCTGTTTTGTTATATGTTTCAGTTATATCATAAAAATTAGCATTTATCTGCTCCTTTGTGTAGGTGTCTGCTTGGTCTGCTTTACTATCTAATTCTGTTTGAATGTCGGATTTACTCGCGTAAAGGTCTTCTATATCATTGACTGCCCCATCTTTTACTTGTCTAATTCTATTTGCTGTAATATCAAAGATATTCATTAAGTTTTTGCTCATAATATTTTATTATTAATTAGAAAATTAATAATATCATATTTTTATTTAATCATAAAATGTTACAGAATTTGAACGGATTTCAAGTATACATTCGTGCACCATATGAATGTACATCCGTGTCGGCATAAACTTACTACTATATAAAGTAGTTCCATCAAGGGGGCGAATTTTTACTACCATATTTGAATTATTTTTTAAATTTAAACCTGTATACGCTGCCGATTCTAATTTTTGCAGATTAAATCCGAACATAAATGCTTGTGTTTTATAGTCCTCGCTTCTAACTAACAATGGATTATCAGCACAATGCATTAAGTGAACATATGCTTCACGAACACCCTGAATTTCTTGTGATGGAATAACTTGATTACCAATTACCAATGAAGCAGTTAAATCATATGTAGGGTCATAATATCCAACATCAACAGCATTACCTTGATGTGCTAATGGATGATATAGCGAGTTGTATTCTTTAAGAATTTCACCAAAGCCTCCTACATAACCTTTACTTGTTGTATTAGAAAATGAAATAAATATTTTATTCAGTTTAGATACATTCCTTACGATAGTTGTAAATATTTCAGTCTCTGATGATGTGGTTTGTTCTTGCATTGTTTCAGTTTCAAATGT